AAACAATACCAGATATATGCAAGTGACTATACAAATGGAAACTATACCAGATATATGCAAGTGACTATACAAATGGAAACAATACCAGATATATGCAAGTGACTATACAAATGGAAACTATACCAGATATATGCAAGTGACTATACAAATGGAAACTATACCAGATATATGCAAGTGACTATACAAATGGAAACAATACCATATATATGCAAGTGACTATACAAATGGAAACAATACCAGATATATGCAAGTGACTATACAAATGGAAACTATACCAGATATATGCAAGTGACTATACAAATGGAAACTATACCAGATATATGCAAGTGACTATACAAATGGAAACTATACCAGATATATGCAAGTGACTATACAAATGGAAACTATACCAAATATATGCAAGTGACTATACAAATGGAAACAATACCAGATATATGCAAGTGACTATACAAATGGAAACTATACCAGATATATGCAAGTGACTATACAAATGGAAACAATACCATAATAAAAAAGACATAATATAAAAAAAAGAAAACGGCCATATTGGTCAGAAGAGTAGCATAAGCTACCAGCACTGCGAGCTGTGTATGCTCTGTAGCTACAGACAGTCCCACGCGTCATGACAGTCATAATGGCGGCCTAACTAATTAGTGCTAGGTCAATATTTTCATGTCCGGCGACTGCCGAGCTCGACCCTGGGGTCCCTGTAATTACCGTCCGTGGGGAGGGGACGTGGGTCATTTCTAAACCAGTCCAAACCACTCCAGTGGGCGGGACTTTTGTCCTGTACATTTTTATCGTCTGTTACACTATTACGTTTCTTTTCAGTCCTGTTCCGCTACAGGGGTTTCGCTCGGAACTTGCAGTATACGCACTTTTCGAGTCGATTGGACTAACAAGCTAGCGGAAACATTTTTTTTTTCAAAATATTTCTTTTGTAAAAACTGTTTATTATTTTAAAATTTCGATTCTTTTTTCTTTTTAATTTCGACTGAAACGAATAGTTTGACGTCGTAGACTTTTTGTTGAATAAACTGGTAATAGGGCCTACGTATTTATACAATATATATATATATATATATATATATATATATATATATATATATATATATATATATATATATATATATATATATATTCCTCAATAGGTCTCTCTCATCTGAACTTTTGATTGTTCTAATTTTAAAAAGACATGAAGACAAAACACGAGCACACACGTAGCTAGAGATATAATGCAACATTGGGACAGTGAATGGTTTATCAGTATTTACGGAAATTTTATCAAGTACATTTTGGTTTTAAAGTAATTTTTGAGCATTTTAATTAAACTAATTAACAGGTATTCGAAAAGTTTACACTTTAGTACCATATCCGTATTAACTGATATAGATACGGATATATATATATATATATATATATATATATATATATATATATATATATATATATATATAATAAAACATCTGTCACCTGGGCTATTAAACCTAACTTGTGTATTATTTAATACTGGCTGACATTGTTATCACTAAAGAGATTCCCTCAAACCACGTGTAACTAAACCAGATTTGTTCAATGCACTTGCAACTTGATGTTAGAACATTCCTAGAGAGGACTAACACGCCAAGCGAGACCAGTGTTTCTTCCAGACTTTTTTCTCCGGGGGGGCACTTGAAATTTTCGGGGGGGGGGGAGGTAAACTTTCTTCCGGGGGGCGGACACTGTTAAAAGTATATATTTTCTATATAAATTATATAAATTTCATTTCGTTCGGGGGGGCGGTAAAATTTTTTCGGGGGAGGGGGTTGGCTTAGCCCCCCCGAAGAGATGCCTGGAAGAAACTCTGAGCGAGACGCTCTCTGGAAATTATGTTCGATACTTTTCAGGGGATATTTATAGGGAATATTTCAAAGGATATTTCTAGGGAATATTTCTAGGGATATTTCTAGGGAATATATCTAGGGTATATTTGTAGGAAATATTTATGGAAAATATTACTAGAGATATTTCTCTGGGATATTTGTAGGGGATATTTAATAGGGAAAATTTATGGGCAATGTTTTATGGAGTATAGTGATTTTTTTTTTTTAAAATAATTTACTTTCCAAAGAAACCAGGCACTAGTGTAATTTTAAAATTACAATTTAATTATGGTTAAAAATAAAAATTTAGATCAGCTTTGCTAGGTATGTCAGTCATACATCAACGTATGTCAGTCAAACATCAACGTATGTCAGTCATACATCAATGTATGTCAGTCATACATCAACGTATGTCAGTCATACATCAACGTATGTCACACTGACATAAACATAAGTAAACCGTCCAATGGCCATCACGTGACACGACTGTACCACAATGTGAAACCAACAATGTGACTGTCTGACCATAGAAGGCCGAGTGTACTGGTGGCAGTTGTTTGAATTAGAGCTCTACGGTCAACTCATACATTCTCTCCCTTGATTTACTGAAAATTGTCTAAACCGTAATTATGTCCCCTTACTTTACAGAAGATCTTTTATCCAAACAATAATTATGTCCCCTTGATTTACTGCAGTACTTTTGACTAACCGCGTTCCCTCACCTTTGTAAATGTAGTATTTACAGCTAGACATGGTTTGTCCCAACATCATTTACACCAGTCTATATGGCTGAACACGATGTGAGTCCTCCATTATTTAACCAGTTTCTATAGCTAAACATGGGTTATCACCCATCCTTTACACCCTATAGCTAAACGCTGGTTGCCCACCCATCATTTACACCAGTCCCTATCTCTAAACACGAGTTGCCATCTGTATTTGACGTGTGTGGGTGTTCGATGATTTAAAAAAAAATCATGTCTAAATCTCGGTAAAGTCACATCTCGCGGGCTGCAGTGGTGGGGTGGAAGATGAAACAAGATTGTGTTGTTTGTTTGTCAGTCAACAGCCCCCAGCACGTTGCGCATGCGCGCCTCAATAGTTTTTATTGCCTGATCGTTGCTGATCCGTCGCTCTTTCATGACGGGGCGACAACTCCTGTAAACCACCCACAATCCCCGAGTAACTCGTGTCGAAAGGAAATGGCAAGTCATACACAACAACTCCAGTTTTTCTTTTAGGTCGAGTGTTTTTAGAAGTCGCGTTCCTGCATTCACTTTCCCGGAAATACATAAAAATGGCAAAAGAAATTTGATCGATACCAATTTCATTTTTCAAAAGAAATAATTGATTTTCTAGTTCAGTTCAAGATTTTTTTGTTCACGTTATCAGCGGTTATAAAAATTTGAACAGCTCCAATTTTGTTTTCGCCACTTTGCTCAATTTAAATTTGAAGTGTTGGCGGTAGTTTATTTTGGCATGAAGTAGTTTCCTTATTTTTAACAATTGTAGGCATGTATGTGACAGCATAAGGCATGAAGGCTGTTTGGTTGTATGCCATATATATAAATATAAATATATATATATATATATATATATATATATATATATATATATATATATATATATATATATATATATATATATATATATATATATATATATATATATGTAAAGAGACACTAGTCACCGTGTATGAACCTGAAGCTGCATGGTACTTGTAAAGAATTCATTTTCTGACGCCTTTCAGTGTGCACTAGATAAACTAGTAGCCAAAGGCAAGAAATGATCTTTAAGAATTCCCGAATACCAATCTTTGCCACTAAACGTTCTATAACTGGTAAAATGACCTTTGATTTAGCGTTACGCGTTAATGATGAGAATAGGTTGTATCGTGCAAAAGTTTGAAAGCTCCATCTAACCGTTCGCATCGTTAAAACGTGATTACTGTAGACGATTTTGGAGTTTAAAGAATTGCGTTTTGCGAACCAACACGCTATTCGTATTTCCAGTTTTATGGTTGCCAGCCCCCCCCCCCCTCACCATACAACGGTGAACGGAAAAAAGTCACAGGAAAAAAAAAACACAAAAAAATGTCACAGTTTTTGCTAGGAAAAAAGTCACACAAAAAAAAACCGGCTATTCAATGGAATTTTTGTTGTTTTTTAAACTAATTTATTTTCATTTTTTTTTTGGCAGAGAAAATTGTATAATTTTAAAACGTACGTTTTGATTAGTAGATTTATATCTATAGATTTAAATGAAATTTGATTGAAATAGTTAATTTCTACATATTCTAACATTGGAAGATGTGGGGAGCGAATCTTATTTAAGATGACGTCATTAGTATTATGTATCATTTTTGACAATCGATTTTTTAAATTCTATTTTTATCCTACAATCAATGACGCCATTCGTAGTATAAACTTTGTATTAACATTTTTCCTTAATGATATTGTGACGTCATTTACCATTGACAGTATTTATGCCAATTTCATGTTCTTTAGAGCGTTCTTGTTACAACAATAAACACTTTTCCGGTTGCATAATTAAAGTTGTTTCTAAATTTGAATATTCTTTTATCTGATTTTCCTTATTTAAATAAAATTTAGTTTATTTATTTAATACATCCAACATATTTTGTAACTAAAGTCCACATCTTTAAGTTCTCCAATCGCTAAAGATACTGATCTCATAGTATCAAATAGTTGCGGACATCGAGATAAAGAGAGAGCGAGAGAGAAGTGTGCACATGGGCTTTTATACATTAGGATGCCCTTATTTGACCAAAAAAAATATGTTTTAATGTTATGCAACCTTAACTGACCGATACAAAAGTAGTTCAAGTGAATAACAAGCAAACAGTCGAATTGTTGATTGGGAAGTAAGACACAAACATAACACCCTCATCCCCTCGATTCAGCCCCCCCCCCCCCCCCCCCAGCTCCCGGATTATGTTAATTAGTGTTCCAGACATATATTCTGTTCAGCCGCTTAGATTTCTATTGAAACAAGAGATTACTAGATCACATTCAGATTTGGGGATATTTTAGATTTTATATATATATATATATATATATATATATATATATATATATATATATATATATATATATATATATATACTTTTTCTCCAAGACTACTACCACCACTAGCTGTAGCTTGAAGTAGACTAGCACCTCTAATAGCCTTGCCTGTAGGAGACGACAATCACCGGACAAATGAATGGTTGGAGTTAGACCATGTACACCACACACAACAAGGATGTCCTCATTGTATCCTTGCTGCTCTACCTGCCTGTCAGACTGGCCTTTCTGCTACCCACATCGGTAAATATTGATCTCACCTCTCTCATATATAGTGGTGTTCTCCTATATAGTGGTGTTCTCATATATATATAGTGATACTCTCAGTCATCTCTCCGCCTTCGGAGATGATATCTCCATTGCTTGATGCCCCCCCCCCCCCCACATTCTCAACCCATTAACAAAATAGAACAAATACATTTTTTTAAAAATATTATTAACTAGTGTCTGTCCCCCCCCCCTTCTCTCCCCCGGCCCTGAACCTTCAAATCCCCCATTCGAAGTTTTCAATTACCCTCCCCCCCCCCCCACTCAATAAAAATTAGTCTAAAAGAACTGTTAGAATTTATTTCAAGTAGTCAGGTGACTAAGTGGTCAAATTCATGGTCGTTGATTCATTCTCCCTTACCTTGACCGTTGTACATTAGATGATGCTACCTTCCTTACCTTGAACGTTGTACACTAGATGATGCTACCTTCCTTACCTTGACTGTTGTACACTATATGATGCTACCTTCCTTACCTTGACTGTTGTACACTAGATGATGCTACCTTCCTTACCTTGACTGTTGTACACTAGAAGATATCTTCCTTACCTTGACTGTTGTACACTAGATGATGCTACCTTCCTTACCTTGACTGCTGTACACTAGATGCTACCTTCCTTACCTTGACTGCTGTACACTAGATGATATCTTCCTTACCTTGACTGTTGTACACTAGATGATGCTACCTTCATTACCTTGACTGTTGTACACTAGATGATGCTACCTTCCTTACCTTGACTGCTGTACACTAGATGACATATTCCTTACCTTGACTGTTGTACACTAGATAACATATTCCTTACCTTGACTGCTGTACACTAGATGCTATCTTCCTTACACTTAGTCTGCGGTACAGTTGTTCTTGTATTCCTCAGACCTTGACAGTTGTAAAAAGAGAATTTGACTCAATACAGCCTGGTACATCGCTGCAGGACGAGTACATTAGTAAGTCAGTGGTCGCAGCTAGCCAGCTCAGTAACTTTACACATACTTTACAACAGTAACTGTACCTCCACACAGCTAGCTATCTCAGTAACTTGAACACCTCTAGCAACACCAAGTACGAGAACACAATAACTACACTACTTCTTACAATGTTTTCTCCGTAGAAGGGGGATGGAGAGCACTTGAAACTTGAGGAGCGCATTTCAAATATCTGGAGGTAGCGGAATGGGGGGGGTGGAGATTGCAGCGGTATATGTATATCAAGTATATATATATTCTAAATAAATAATTTATTTTTTCTATTTCGTTCGGTGGGTGTAGTGGGTGGGGAGGAGCAGTGGCTAAAGTACATATCTTCTATGTAAACAGATTATCTTCCTTATTTTGTTCGGTGGGGGAGGGGATTGAAGTACGGTGCACATGTACTCACTCCCCCCTCCCCCGGGGAAATACCCGAAAGAAACCCTACTCTAGCCTGAGCTCTACTTCCAGGTTGTGAGGAACACCTGTTGCACAACTTCCCCGGCACCAAGACCTACATCAGCTACGGCGAGGCCAGACTCTGCTCTCTCTTCATCGCCGCACCCATCGACCACGTCATCCTCATAGAGTTTGTCTATTTGAACGTCAGGTGTGAGGAGAATGGCGCAGTTGTGGTACAGTTCACATTCACGTTTTGCTGTACTTGGTTCAAAAGTTGTCTTATAACTAAAACAATATATCACATACTTTCCTTAGTGTAACACTGTATAAAAAAGTTTAGCAGTATCACGTTATTCACATATGCTCTAGTAACTTATTTGAACACTTAAGTTTTAAGCTAGTGAAATAAATGTATAGATAATAGAGAGTTGAGTTTCTAATAAATAATCCATATTATTACTATTTTGTTTTAAATTAATTAATATAAATCTATGAACTTTATTTTATTGTACTTTTCCTGGCCACCCTTTCTATTTTAGCCAGTTCCAATTTTTGATCTATATCTAACTGTCAATTAAATCTTTACCTTCAACATAAATTGAACCTAAACGCTTGATTTAACATTTCCAATGCGTTATATTTTATTTTCTCGTATATACGAAGAATAGTGAAAGTCATGTAATCGTGGAAAAAACAAAATCGAGATTTTTGCAAATCTCGACATTTTACAGCTCCCCGAGTCGGAAAAACATAATTTTGCAATCTTGTCCGTATGTCTGTGTGTGTGTATGTGTGTCTGTGTGTGTGTGTATGTAAACACGATAACTTGAGTACCGTTACAGCTAGTTTGATGAAATTTCATGTATAAGTATTATATCAAAATGGTAAATCCGTATCGACTTTTGGGCGATTTCTGATAACCGGAAGTGGAACTTTTTTCTTTGAATTTTTTAAAAGCCTATAACTTGAGTACTATTTCAGGTAGATAAATGAAATTTTACATGTTAGTAAAAAATTGAATTCCCTGCATTCTGTCAAATTTTGAGTAATTTCCGTTGACCGGAAGTAGTAATTTTCGCTATTTCCGATTTCTCAAAAAAAACGCATGTGAATTTATAAAGTACTAATAATATTCCGACTATTATGCTAATTTTATTTGGCGTTCACTTGATGTGCAATTCTTTTTTCTACGAGATTTTATTCTATTTTTAAAAGTTTAAGTATTCAAAATGGATTAAAAGTCATGTCTATATCCCAAGTTGCCATCCTCTGTTGTTTCATATAAGAATATTCGAGAAAGTTTAGGGGAGATCACTCCCGGTTTATTTATACATGAAAGTGGATTAAAAATTTCAATATCTTATTATTTAAATTTGTCAATCCAGTTAATTGACGGCTGGGAGCTGGATAATGAGCTCTTCCCCAGCGATGTTGACCACCCCGACCCCCTGGCCCTGAGGTACCTGACCTACTGTGGGAAGGAGGTGGACCCTCAAGCCTACACCACCAAACAGAACGTCGCCCAGGTCCAGTTTGTGGTTCCAGAGTTGGGTGGAGGTTTCTCTATCAGTGTCAACTTTCTTCACAACGACAAACGTAAGTTGTTGTCAACTTTCTTCACAACGACAAACGTAAGTTGTTGGGTGGAGGTTTCTCTATCAGTGTCAACTTTCTTCACAACGACAAACGTAAGTTGTTGGGTGGAGGTTTCTCTATCAGTGTCAACTTTCTTCACAACGACAAACGTAAGTTGTTGGGTGGAGGTTTCTCTATCAGTGTCAACTTTCTTCACAATGACAAACGTAAGTTGTTGGGTGGAGGTTTCTCTATCAGTGTCAACTTTCTTCACAACGACAAACGTAAGTTGTGGGGTGGAGGTTTCTTAATGTCAACTTTCTTCACAACGACAAACGTAAGTTGTTGGGTGGAGGTTTCTCTATCAGTGTCAACTTTCTTCACAACGACAAACGTAAGTTGTTGGGTGGAGGTTTCTCTATCTGTGTCAACTTTCTTTACAACGACAAACGTAAGTTGTTGGGTGGAGGTTTCTTAATGTCAACTTTCTTCACAACGACAAACGTAAGTTGTTGGGTGGAGGTTTCTCTATCAGTGTCAACTTTCTTCACAACGACAAATGTAAGTTGTTGGGTGGAGGTTTCTCTATCAGTGTCATTTTTCTTCACAACGACAAACTAAGTTGTTGGGCCGAGGTTTCTCTATCAGTGTCAACTTTCTTCACAACGACAAACGTAAGTTGTTGGGCCGAGGTTTCTCTATCAGTGTCAACTTTCTTCACAACGACAAACTAAGTTGTTGGGCCGAGGTTTCTCTATCAGTGTCAACTTTCTTCACAACGACAAACGTAAGTTGTTGGGCCGAGGTTTCTCTATCAGTGTCAACTTTCTTCACAACGACAAACGTAAGTTGTTGTCAACTTTCTTCACAACGACAAACGTAAGTTGTTGAGTGGAGGTTTCTCTATCAGTGTCAACTTTCTTCACAACGACAAACGTAAGTTGTGGGGTGGAGGTTTCTTAATGTCAACTTTCTTCACAACGACAAACGTAAGTTGTTGTCAACTTTCTTCACAACGACAAACGTAAGTTGTTGTCAACTTTCTTCACAACGACAAACGTAAGTTGTTGTCAACTTTCTTCACAACGACAAACGTAAGTTGTGGGGTGGAGGTTTCTTAATGTCAACTTTCTTCACAACGACAAACGTAAGTTGTTGGGTGGAGGTTTCTTAATGTCAACTTTCTTCACAACGACAAACGTAAGTTGTTGGGTGGAGGTTTCTCTATCAGTGTCAACTTTCTTCACAACGACAAACGTAAGTTGTTGGGTGGAGGTTTCTCTATCTGTGTCAACTTTCTTTACAACGACAAACGTAAGTTGTTGGGTGGAGGTTTCTTAATGTCAACTTTCTTCACAACGACAAACGTAAGTTGTTGGGTGGAGGTTTCTCTATCTGTGTCAACTTTCTTCACAACGACAAATGTAAGTTGTTGGGTGGAGGTTTCTCTATCAGTGTCATTTTTCTTCACAACGACAAACTAAGTTGTTGGGCCGAGGTTTCTCTATCAGTGTCAACTTTCTTCACAACGACAAACGTAAGTTGTTGGGCCGAGGTTTCTCTATCAGTGTCAACTTTCTTCACAACGACAAACTAAGTTGTTGGGCCGAGGTTTCTCTATCAGTGTCAACTTTCTTCACAACGACAAACGTAAGTTGTTGGGCCGAGGTTTCTCTATCAGTGTCAACTTTCTTCACAACGACAAACGTAAGTTGTTGGGTGGAGGTTTTTCTATCAGCGTCAACTTTCTTCACAACGACAAACGTAAGTTGCTGGGTGGAGGTTTCTCTATCAGTGTCAACTTTCTTCACAACGACAAACGTAAGTTGTTGGGTCGAAGTTTCTCTATCAGCGTCAACTTTCTTCACAACGACAAACGTAAGTTGCTGGGTGGAGGTTTCTCTATCTGTGTCAACTTTCTTCACAACGACAAACGTAAGTTTTTGGGTCGAGGTTTCTCTATCAGCGTCAACTTTCTTCACAACGACAAATGTAAGTTGTTGGGTGGAGGTTTCTCTATCAGCGTCAACTTTCTACACAACGACAACCGTCAGTTGTTGGGTGGAGGTTTCTCTATCAGCGTCAACTTTCTACACAGCGACAAACGTAAGTTCTTGGGTGGAGGTTTCTCTATCAGTGTCAACTTTCTTCACAACGACAAACGTAAGTTGTTGGGTGGAGGTTTCTCTATCAGTGTCAACTTTCTTCACAACGACAAACGTAAGTTGTTGGGTGGAGGTTTCTCTATCAGTGTCAACTTTCTTCACAACGACAAACGTAAGTTGTGGGGTGGAGGTTTCTCTATCAGTGTCAACTTTCTTCACAACGACAAACGTAAGTTGTTGGGCCGAGGTTTCTCTATCAGTGTCAACTTTCTTCACAACGACAAACGTAAGTTGTTGGGTGGAGGTTTCTCTATCAGCGTCAACTTTCTTCACAACGACAAACGTAAGTTGTTGGGTGGAGGTTTCTTAATGTCAACTTTCTTCACAACGACAAACGTAAGTTGTTGGGTGGAGGTTTCTCTATCAGCGTCAACTTTCTTCACAACGACAAACGTAAGTTGTTGGGTGGAGGTTTCTTAATTTCAACTTTCTTCACAACGACAAACGTAAGTTGTTGGGTGGAGGTTTCTCTATCAGCGTCAACTTTCTTCACAACGACAAACGTAAGTTGTTGTCAACTTTCTTCACAACGACAAACGTAAGTTGCTGGGTGGAGGTTTCTCTATCAGTGTCAACTTTCTACACAACGACAAACGTAAGTTGTTGTCAACTTTCTTCACAACGACAAACGTAAGTTGCTGGGTGGAGGTTTCTCTATCAGTGTCAACTTTCTACACAACGACAAACGTAAGTTGTTGTCAACTTTCTTCACAACGACAAACGTAAGTTGCTGGGTGGAGGTTTCTCTATCAGTGTCAACTTTCTACACAACGACAAACGTAAGTTGTTGTCAACTTTCTTCACAACGACAAACGTAAGTTGTTGAGTGGAGGTTTCTCTATCAGTGTCAACTTTCTTCACAACGACAAACGTAAGTTGTTGGGTGGAGGTTTCTCTATCAGTGTCAACTTTCTTCACAACGACAAACGTAAGTTGTTGGGTGGAGGTTTCTCTATCAGTGTCAACTTTCTTCACAACGACAAACGTAAGTTGCTGGGTGGAGGTTTCTCTATCAGTGTCAACTTTCTACACAACGACAAACGTAAGTTGTTGTCAACTTTCTTCACAACGACAAACGTAAGTTGCTGGGTGGAGGTTTCTCTATCAGTGTCAACTTTCTACACAACGACAAACGTAAGTTGTTGTCAACTTTCTTCACAACGACAAACGTAAGTTGTTGAGTGGAGGTTTCTCTATCAGTGTCAACTTTCTTCACAACGACAAACGTAAGTTGTTGGGTGGAGGTTTCTCTATCAGTGTCAACTTTCTTCACAACGACAAACGTAAGTTGTTGGGTGGAGGTTTCTCTATCAGCGTCAAGTTTCTTCACAACGACAAACGTAAATTGTTGGGTGGAGGTTTCTTAATGTCAACTTTCTTCACAACGACAAACGTAAGTTGTTGAGTGGAGGTTTCTCTATCAGTGTCAACTTTCTTCACAACGACAAATGTAAGTTGTTGGGTGGAGGTTTCTCTATCAGTGTCAACTTTCTTCACAACGACAAACGTAAGTTGTTGGGTGGAGGTTTGTTAATGTCAACTTTCTTCACAACGACAAACGTAAGTTGTTGGGTGGAGGTTTCTCTATCAGCGTCAACTTTCTTCACAACGACAAACGTAAGTTGTTGTCAACTTTCTTCACAACGACAAACGTAAGTTGTTGGGTGGAGGTTTCTCTATCAGTGTCAACTTTCTACACAACGACAAACGTAAGTTGTTGTCAACTTTCTTCACAACGACAAACGTAAGTTGTTGGGTGGAGGTTTCTCTATCAGTGTCAACTTTCTTCACAACGACAAACGTAAGTTGTTGGGTGGAGGTTTCTCTATCAGCGTCAACTTTCTTCACAACGTCAAACGTAAGTTGTTGGGTGGAGGTTTCTCTATCAGCGTCAACTTTCTTCACAACGACAAACGTAAGTTGTTGGGTCGAAGTTTCTCTATCAGCGTCAACTTTCTTCACAACGACAAACGTAAGTTGTTGGGTGGAGGTTTCTCTATCAGTGTCAACTTTCTTCACAACGACAAACGTAAGTTGTTGGGTCGAAGTTTCTCTATCAGCGTCAACTTTCTTCACAACGACAAACGTAAGTTGTTGGGTGGAGGTTTATCTATCAGTGTCAACTTTCTTCACAACGACAAACGTAAGTTGTTGGGTGGAGGTTTATCTATCAGTGTCAACTTTCTTCACAACGACAAACGTAAGTTGTTGAGTGGAGGTTTCTTAATGTCAACTTTCTACACAACGACAAACGTAAAATGTCGTTATACTGAGTACTTGTAAAATGTATAATTTGGAATAAGAATGTTAAAAATGTGGTTTTCGTCCGTTAAGAAACTAAATTAAAATGAGTCATGTATCTAAACGAATCAGATAACAAATCTTACCACAGTTAATGAAATCGTTTACTAGAAACCCAAACATTATCAAGTTATAATGTTATCTTTTCCTATTCTTTGTGTCTGTAATGAAGCCATTCTACACCACATAAGTTACCGACTGTCGCTAAAATAAAATTATGTATGCTCTTTTTTTTTCTACTATTTAAAATTACTCACTTAACCTGACAAGGTGAACCAGTTAAAAAATGTCTATTTAAAATTACTCACTTAACCTGACAAGTTGAACCAGAACTAATATTAAGATTAACCTTCAATTACAGCCAGAACTATCGATTGTCTCAAATATCAGCCGTGTTGCCTCAAGCGCGCATCGGCTAAAGAAGGTCTCTACGCCATGGGCTTCACGTTTCATGATGATTGGGGGGGGGGGGGGGCATTAATTTACACCCGGGAAAAAATTACCACTAAAAAAGAAAGAACATAGAAAAAATAGAAGAGATCATTTGAACTTTTATATTAAACACTTGGTCAGGGCTAATTAAACTGTAAACTTTGAAGCGTAAGATTTAGCTAGAGACTTTAGCGTGGGCATTAACTTATCTAGATCTACCTTCCATCGCAAGCCAATAACATGGTGCTACTGACAACCACAATTAACGACTTTTCCTTCCACCCCCAACCTGTAACATGAACCCTACCTTCCACCCCCAACCTGTAACATGTACTAAACTTTCCACCCCAACCTGTAACATGAACTCAACCTTCCACCCCCAACCTGAAACATAAAGTCTACCTTCCACCCCCAAACTGTAATATAAACTCTACCTTCCACCTCCAACCTGTAACATGAACACTACCTTCCACCCCCAAACTGTAATATGAACTCTACCTTCCACCCTCAACCTGTAACATAAACTCTACCTTCCACCCCTAACCTGTAACATGAACTCTACCTTCCACCCTCAACCTGTAACATAAACCCTACCTTCCACCCCCAACCTGTAACATGAACTCTACCTTCCACCCCCAACCTGTAACATAAACTCTACCTTCCACCTCCAGCATGTAACATGATGCTACTGACCAATACCTACGACATGATAAGCCTGAGGAACTTTGGCTTGAAGAGAAACTGTACGGTCATGTCCATCTATCCACAGCGATTTATTTTCGGTTACATCAACGTCGGTAAGTTTCCTTTGCTGAGTATAGTTTATAAAGCGGAGTGTAAGTTTATAGTGGAGTGTAGTTTATAAAATGGATTATAAGTTTATACACCTGAGTATAGTTTATAAAGCATAGAGAAAGTTTATAGCTGAGCCTACATTTGTATAGTTGAGGGATGATTTAAATAATTGAGTGATGGGTCTCAACGGCTGACTGTTGAAATCGTTGAGTGCATGTTTAATTTAATAATTTAGCTACTGATTAAAACTTAAGCATATTTTACAATAATTATTAATTTTTTTATGATTTCACTCGTTCATATCTAAAATCGACATATATTTTTTTTTCTTTTAAAACAATAACATTACAATTACTCTAGACAAATGAGAATAAAAATCTACCCCTTTACTGTGGCAGGCTGCAAACTACCTGCATTCCCTAACCCCCAGCAATAGTTATCAATTTTCATTGACTTCTTCAGGTAAAAAGGTCAACTCTACACCATATCAACTTGGCCAAAAGTCACGAAAGAGAATCGAAACAAAGGTGCAAAGTTCGTCTACACTATCCAAACTTTTACCATCTTGACAAACTGTTAACAAAAAAATATTAAAATAGGAATTCTTGTTGTATAACTTTGTAGCGTGGAAGAGGAAAACAATTGTTTTGTTTATGTTGACCCGAGTTCTGACGACTTGATTGATTTCCCCAGTGTCATGGCCGCTATGGAACTGATAGAGTTCAGCTCTTTGAAGGGGAGAATGTTGGTTCCTCACGGAGAAGGCTGGTCATCGGCTTTTGTGGATCGAATGGTAATTGTGTTTTACTTTCTAAACTAAGATCGTCTTGTTGTAGTTGTGGATCGAATGGTAATTGTGTTTAACTTTCTAAACTTAGATCGTCTTGTTGCAGTTGTGGATCGAATGGTAATTGTGTTTAACTTTCTAAACTAGGATCGTCTTGTTGTAGTTGTGGATCGAATGGTAATTGTGTTTAACTTTCTAAACTTAGATCGTCTTGTTGTAGATCTAGTTGTGGATCGAATGGTAATTGTGTTTAACTTTCTAAACTTAGATCGTCTTGTTGTAGTTGTGGATCGAATGGTAACTGTGTTTAACTTTCTAAACTAGGATCGTCTTGTTGTAGTTGTGATCATTGTCTAGGCAGTTTCAGGAGTTAAACTTCTAAATCATTCATGTGTAAATATAGATGTTAAACCTGCACCACCACTTCATGCATAAACGTCCCTTCCTGCCACCACCTTATGTACAAATGTACCTGCCACCCCCCCCCCCCCATGTACAAATGTCCGTACCACCCCATGTACAAATGTCCCCACCACCCTCTGTACAAATGTCCACACCACCCCATGTACAAATGTCCCCACCACCCTCTGTACAAATGTCCCCACCACCCCATGTACAAATGTCCCCACCACCCTCTGTACAAATGTCCACACCACCCCATGTACAAATGTCCCCACCACCCTCTGTACAAATGTCCCCACCACCCCATGTACAAATGTCCCCACCACCCCATGTACAAATGTCCCCACCACCCCCTGTACAAATGTCCCCACCACCCCATGTACAAATGTCTCCACCACCCTCTGTACAAATGTCCCCACCACCCCATGTACAAATGTCCACACCACCCCATGTACAAATGTCCCTGCCACCACCCCATGTACAAATGTCCACACCACCCCCTGTACAAATGTCCCCACCACCCCATGTACAAATGTCCCCACCACCCCATGTACAAATGTCTCCACCACCCTCTGTACAAATGTCCCCACCACCCCATGTACAAATGTCCCCACCACCCCATGTACAAATGTCCCCACCACCCCATGTACAAATGTCCCCACCACCCCATGTACAAATGTCCCCACCACCCTCTGTACAAATGTCCCCACCACCCCATGTACAAATGTCCCACCACCCCATGTACAAATGTCCCCACCACCCCATGTACAAATGTCCCCACCACCCCCTGTACAAATGTCCCCACCACCCCATGTACAAATGTCTCCACCACCCTCTGTACAAATGTCCCCACCACCCCATGTACAAATGTCCACACCACCCCATGTACAAATGTCCCTGCCACCACCCCATGTACAAATGTCCCCACCACCCCATGTACAAATGTCCCCACCACCCCATGTACAAATGTCCCCACCACCCCATGTACAAATGTCCCCACCACCCCATGTACAAATGTCCCCACCACCCTCTGTACAAATGTCCCCACCACCCCATGTACAAATGTCCCCACCACCCCATGTACAAATGTCCCCACCACCCCATGTACAAATGTCCCCACCACCCCATGTACAAATGTCCCCACCACCCCATCTACAAATGTCCCCACCACCCTCTGTACAAATGTCCCCACCACCCTCTGTACAAATGTCCCCACCACCCCATGTACAAATGTCCCCACCACCCCATGTACTAATGTCCACCACCCATGTAGCCTCTGATGTTCTGTTCCCAGCTCCCAGAATGATGAGCCTGCAGTGCCACAGTTCTACTCTGAGAATGGAATCCAGTGGTCACTTTTATAACGTGGTCAAATTCGCAGTGTTGCCCTCTGAGGACCAGTGCAAGTAGTATCCACCACTTGTTCTGGTGACATCCATTTATCCATAGGTCAAGCTGACATGTGGGCAGGTGACTTATCCAAGCGCTGGATATTTTGAAGGTTTTAGTCAAAACACACACCAATCTAATAAGGTGCAGATAATAGGAAAACATTCTCCAAATTTACCAAAATACTCAAAACAAAAAGGTAAAAAAAAAATAGCTTAAAATACGTTTTTTGTCAGAATACAAAAACATTATTTTACAATGGATGGTTTACAATGTCTGCCAATTGTATTTAGAGCCTTATATGCAGTTAAGACCACCTATCTAATTCACCTATTTAAGTCACTAAATTCACCTCAGCCTATGCCCTCTCAGTTAAGCCCTAGAAGTTGTATTTAAGCTCACCATCTAATCAGCTAAACCAATTTCAACATTCAATAGATAAAAATGCAATGTTTAGAAAAACTTAAACCTAAGATTTTGAATGTGGTTCAAGAAAATGTCCAAATAAAACCAATGCAACCCACAGCCATTGTTACAAATTTATTTCATGTACTGTTTGTGTCCTTAAAAATAACAATTAAATATAAACTGTTTATGTGTTTTTACATACAGATGACCAAATTATAAAATTATAATAAAAAGTGTATGTTCTATGAGAACATTAAATGAAAGTTGTGTTATTAATTAACCCACACACACAAATTACAAATCAACAGTTTCTATGGTTTACAATTTTATTTCATAAGAAAACATAGTATAAGGGGTATAACTCTGTCAAAAAAGGTGGCTGTCAAACACATACTGTTACTTATATATAAAATACTATCTGTGGAGGAGAAAAAACAAAATGGGAATCCACACAGTATGGTTTTATGTTAAGTGAAGTATGACAAATGTATTCCTTCTAAACAAGATATCCTCACAGTATGGTTTTATTTTAAGGAAAGTACAACAAATGTATTCCTTCTAAACAAGACAAAGCTAAATAAAATTAAGAGTTACCTTTTAACTTTATGCTCCTCCAAATAAACCTAAAAATAAAATAAAATAAGTATATACCACATGTCATCAATGATTATATCATCATAATAAAAAGTTTTGAAACCAAATATGTCCTGCCATCTTGTTTCACTTACCCCCAAACAGTCCTCCGCCTGCAGCACCTAAGGACCAAAGAGGACATGATGTCAACATCAGTAACAACATCATTCAAAGAAGTCATATTTTAATTCTTGTTTAATTTTTTAATTTTAATTTTCTTTATAATTTTTAAAACAAACTCAACAATTGAAAGCGTAGGACAGTAAAATCCCAATTTAATAACAAAAACTTTAAAAAACATCAATAATTTGCTTCAACATGTAAAATAACTTATACTAAATAAAACAAACACAAAATAAAGTTTGTAACATTGAAATTGTTTAAAACAAAATACACTTACCTCCACCACCTAGACCAAGCATTGCAGGATCTAGTTTTAAAGTATTTACAATAAAAGTTGTTAAGCTTCATTTTTAATGCATTTTTTTTTTAAATATTAAATGCTTCTTGCCAAAACAATCAAACATTACATATGTTGATCAATGAATGTATACTTTATACTATTTTTAAAAGAAACATTAACTAGATTATAGAGTACTTAGTAAAAAAGAATTTGTTACATTTTAATATAAAGTTTTTTACTTACTCATTCCCATCATCATTGCTGCAAATTTTAAAAAAAAATGTTATAGACATCTAAACGAAATTAAAAATGACATCTATGCAATTAGACAATGATATAAAAACTGTGTTATAACAAAAGGACTTTAACATTGAAATAAAAGTTGTTTAAAGTTTGGGGTGTCATGATTTTTGTTATAACATGATAGAATAATTTGAGGTCCAGGGAGAGGGGGGGAAAGGGGAAGGCAGGCAAAGAACATTTAGGCAGTCATTTAACAAAATACAATTTTTTTAACAAAAATTAACAAGTTTCTATAATGTTTGTATAACTTTTCAAAGTTTCTATAACTAGGAGGATGGTTAACTTTTTACTTACCCATTGGATCAAATCCACCTCCTGCAAAAACAAAAAAAAAATTATAATTACCAAACTGTGATTTTTGTAAAGTGGATTATTTCTAGGAAATGAGTTATTTCTATTGATGAGGTAAGTTCTATAAGTATTAGGCTCAATCTTAAAAAGCTAAAACCACATTACCAGCACCACCTAAAACCACATTACCAGCACCACCTAAAACCACATTACCAGCACCATCTAAAACCACATTACCAGCACCATCTAAAACCACATTACCAGCACCACCTAAAACCACATTACCAGCACCACCTAAAACCACATTACCAGCACCATCTAAAACCACATTACCAGCACCATCTAAAACCACATTACCAGCACCACCTAAAACCACATTACCAGCACCATCTAAAACCACATTACCAGCACCACCTAAAACCACATTACCAGCACCATCTAAAACCACATTACCAGCACCACCTAAAACCACATTACCTGCACCACCTGCAGAGCCAGCACCTCCTCCCAGGCTGCTCTGTAAGGCCATCAGTGCTGTTACAAAAATCAAATCATAACTTCATTTTAAATGGAACAAAAACAGGGTTTTTAATATGCATTCTCCATAGTCTTTTAAAATATTAACTATTTGTTTCATTTATTTGAGGCCTATTTTATCCTAATGCATTTATACAATAGTCATGGTCTCTGATACATAAAAAACAGTTTAAACTTAATCTGGACTTTAGAATTTCTTCAAGCAGCCATTTTACAATAAATATTAGCCAGGTACTTATTAAGCCAAAGATACTATTTTTAAAATTATAAATTGTATCAAACATATCTTCTGCTTAATATTTTTAAAATGAAAATTTCAAGAGAATTTTATCACTGTGATTGTAAGCAAAAAGTTATCTTACTCATCATATCCATTGCAGCTGAGGAAAGTAAAAAAACATGTTCAGAATAAAATCTTGAAAACAGTTTTTACAAATAGGATATTCAACCAAAGTAACATATATAAAAATATATGTTAACTAACATTTTCCAATGTGTTAAAATTACTATCAGTTTAAAGTTTTCAAAAAATGAATTTATATTTGTTAAAAGGTTTCTTACGGTTAGAATTCCTAGCTGGAGTTGTTGCTGTTCCATTAACTGGCACTTTAGGCTGCATCATTGCTGTAACAGCCAAGAGGTCATTTATTTGCTTAAGACAACCAAGTTAAATTTTAAAAAGCACTCAAACTTTTATATAATTTTAAGAAAAACATGTTACTATGATTACAGATGTTGCTGTTTATATTTTAAAACAACTTACACTTCATGGCATTAGCCATCATAGCACGTAGCATCACTGAAACAAACATTGGAAATATTACATTTAAAAATCAACATTAATTATTGGATATATTAATTTTGTTTGCTGTTCAATATAAGGTACTTCAAAATAAATTGTTAGAGAAATAATTCTTCTAATGACTTCTAGTTTATTGCTTAGTATTTTTTTAAATATCAGGCTAATATGTAACAATGGCATATTTTTACCCTGTCAATAATTGCTTCTGTCAAGATGTAAGTGAATGAGGTTCTATAGTAATTATTAAATTTGCTAAGCAGAAATTAAATTGTCAAAAACTAAAAGTCTAAAAAAAAATTTTTAAATTAATTCAAGATCAAATAGGGCCAACTCAAATTAATTAGAAAATGTGGCACAAATAAATAATTTACACCAAGGGAAGTAACTCAAGCATTAAAGTGTAGCACATACTTTCTTCTCTCTGCTCCGCCATTTTTTCAGGATCTGGTGGAACAGCTCCTGCACCAGCTGCCCCTGTCCCAGCCGCACCAGGTCCACCCAGACCCATTCCAGGTGAAAACATGGACATGGGGTTCATACTGCCCAGAAGTTGAGCTGAAAAAATGTGGTCAGAACATGGGTAATAGTTTTAAAACTACCAGAAGTTGACCTGAAAAATTCTAATTTTTGTGTATGATTGCATTAGTCTAAAAATGTTGCGCCTAGTTGTGTATGGCTTATAAAGTCTAAGTCTAGTGATAGTGTATGACTTTTTAGTTTTCTTTATATGACTTCTAAAGTCTAAATGTTGTGTATCCCGAAGCCAAAAATCAGTCTAAATGTGTGTGCGACTGCTACAGTTTATGTCATCATGTTTGGTCATAGATCATTGTGTATTAATTCTTTATAAACTGTGTTTATGTTTCACTACAAATTAAACCCAGGAAGATAACATCTTCTTTAACCTATCTGTTTAAAAAAATAGTGAGCACTAATTTAAGGCAATTTTCATTTATTACAACAGACTAAACAAAATCAACAATAGACCAAAGTGAACTTTGCTTTCTTTTATTAAAGAGTTGTCTTGATTTTCCTCTACTACAAAATGGAAAGGGCGCCCCTGTTAATGTTTCTCATACACATGAAATTAAGTAATGAATTAACACATTGAGCTGTTTCTTACTGATATCTCTTGGAGCGGCGGCGCCACTGGCTGACCCCAGCCCAGCTGATGCTAATGTCAACAGATCTTGTGGACCTTAAGACATGGAGGAATCTTAGATATTTACAAAATCTACTTGAAATCTGAATAAAAATTAAACTTCAAAATAATATAATAAAAATATAATAATATAAAAGTCATCAATAATACAAAGCTACATACGCATTCCATGAGATGAAGATATCCCATCTATTGGAGAAAAAAAATATCTTAACTATGAACAATGTTGGTAAATAAATACACTAAAGCTACTATATATGTAAGTAACTAAACTGTTATTGTAAAATATTTCTAAAATAAAATGGATTCTTACTTGGTAGTAAGCTCATTAAGTGCTTTGGTAATTCTGAGAATTAGAAAACAATGTGAGTGAGATAAAAGCCTATGTCATAAGATTTTGTCTGATCAAAGTGTAAGATTTACATCTATGGTGAAGTTTTTTTATGGAAAAAAATAAAATTCACACATTTGTTTCTCATCAAAAATGTAATATTTCAGCCTGTGAAGAGAATTGTGTGTACTTACATGTGAAGAAACTTGTATGTACTTTATGTATAAAGAAACTTGGGTGTGCTTACATATGAGGAAAGTTGTATGTACTTTATGTGTAAAGAAAATTGTGTGTACTTACATATAAAAACCATGTGTACTTATGTATGAGGAAACTTGTATGTACTTTATGTATAAAGAAACTTGTGTGTGCTAACATATAAAAACCATATGTACTTACGTATGAGGAAACTTGTATGTACTTTATGTATAAAGAAACTTGTGTGTGCTAACATATAAAAACCATATGTACTTACGTATGCCACCCATTGGGAAACTGGGGCCTGTAGGCTTCTGTGTTGTAGTTGTAGCTGGTGTTGTTGTTGGTGGGATGACTGGAAATATTGAGATGTGGGTTTATACAATTTGGTTATTTGACTAATGAAACTATTGGCTTAATAACAAACTATGACACAACAACAAGTAACAGTACACGACCCTGTAAAATTAAAATTTGCAATATACTTTACTAAATTAAAATTTATTTTCTACCATAGAATTTATCATTGAAATTCTACATTTTTTTACTAATGTTAAATACTCTAACTTAAGTTCTAGCAGGCAATTATTAACTCTACCTGGTCCCATGCCTGGGAATCCTGGCATACCTGAAATATAGTTATTTGTTTATTAGTATAACCTATAGTCAACTTTGCTAGGTAAAAACAAATGAATAGGATTTTTTAAGCTGACCACTTTAGCTTCCCATTAAAAATTCTCTATTTGAGTCATAGTTTAACCTTATCATATAACCCAAAATGCAACAGTTATCAACATCCATCAGGTGTGTGAAGGCTAAAGACAATCTGACAGTCAAAAATCAAACATAGTAGCCTGCACTTTAAACTGTGATAAGCAGATTAAAAACAACAACTTACTTTTGAGTATTGCTGCCATGAGCAATTGATCTGTGAATACAATTGTTCCAAGTTTAAATGTTTAAATTAAATGTAACTTTCATTTTGAAAAAAGTTTTTCACTTGTATGTGAGCTCTACATAAACACAATATTTCTACATCTCAGACTGGAACTTCATTAAATTACATAAATGTAGATCTATTTATACAATAAAATAACATGATATAATTTGTATCCAGTGCTTTAGCTTTTTATATAATTAAATGTTAAAATTTGATGTTAGAAAATATAAAAGAGATGATATTGCAGCTCTAATTTTGTTAAATTCTTGATGATATGCATACATGACATGTTTACAATTAGTTTTAGTAGTTGGCAACAATTTAGTTCAAATAACTTAAAATTGTAAAACTTTCTGGTGTTATTGCATGTTTCTTTATGTTATGGTTATTACAGATGTTTACAACTTTGTTAAAATTTTAAAATTATTTCAAATTTAAAATATAAGTTGAGGACAAAGAAAAAGTAGAAATATGCCCATAAAAAAAAAATAATGTTGCGCCATATATGTGTATGGAATGATTATTATATTTCTTCTTACAATACAGGAATTATAAAATAATTGTGTTGATGCCAAAGCTTATAAATATTATTGTATAACTTAAGAATACAAACATATATTTATGAATAGAATAGTAAATTTGTAGTGATTAAAAGTTTAAATTAAACAGATTATTAATTAATGAAAAATTAATATTTAATTTACTTACAATCTTGGTTTAAATAGAAGTGGATGTTAGTAAATTATTGAATCTTATGAATCCAAATTCAGGCTTAAAACTGCATAAAGAGTAACAGCAAATATTTGTTAGTTTAAAAATGGTGGAGAATGTAAATAGCTGTACATGCAATGAAAACAATGGTTAAATTGTATACAAAAAAACACTGCATCAGTCTTCATCAACCCTAACCCAAAAGAAACTTCATTGATGTAAATATCCAGCACAAAAGTATCCCATCAGCAAAAAGTAACTTTTGTTTAAACATTTAAAATTAATTTCAACAAATATTAATAATATATTAGACAAATCGATTTAAAATTAATTGCTATTGATTTTTAAATTATAGTTACCTTTTTAATTGTTAGTTTTATAAAATGTTGATAAACCAGTAATTCATGTCAAATTTTGACCAGGAAAATAATTACGCTTTTTAATGTGTTAGTAAATTGGCTGAGTATATCAAGAGAAAGGTACTGGCAACCAACTTACAGTTGATACTATCTCTGTTAGTGTGGAGAGGGAAAAGGTACTGTGGTTTGGAGATGGTTGGTTTTGGTGATGAGAGAATGGATCTCAGAGAGAGTAATGCTGGCAACATTTCTGGCACATCTTCAAGAAAAATATGGTAATGAAATATTCAAAAAGGAATTCTGCAGTGTCAAAGTTTGTTTCAATATTTTAGTATCTGAGTTAACAAGCTAAATGTTTATGTTTTTCTACTTGACTCTGATTTTATTATTTTTTATTGTAACTTGTTTAACAATATCCCACAAAAATTTATTTTTATAATTTATCCTCATGTTATTTTAATTTTTATTGAATGTTATTCTTAAGGAATGTGTAACAAATTATCAAAATAATTATTATACATTATTATAAAATAAATTTATTTGTTTAACATTTAAAATTAAAATATTGCTTTACTATATTGACAAACCTAAAGTAATTCTAATATTTTATTCTTGCATCCAATGCTGAAACAAATCATGATTATAACTGGCTGCAGCCCATGAATAGCAAGTCAGACTTACTTCCCTTACTACTAGTTGCCCTATGTTTAGCCTTTCTGAAGAGCTGTGTAGTTCCTCCCCCAAGTAAAGTTGTGGCCAATTGTTGAAGTTGATGGATTTGTTGAACTAAAATTTACACACATGTAGCATAATAGTTTTCTACAATAAATTATCTTCATGCCATATGGATGTGAAAATGTTGTAGTTCATGTGATTAGCTGTGAGTACATTATAGATAAATTAGCCTGAAATTATGTTCTAATTTAACAATTTTAAAAGCCTTAGGCAAAAAATTTCAAAATTTCAAGATTTTATTTTCTATTTCAGACTAAATTTAGAAATTTAGACATGTTAATATGTACATTTAAATATGATCAAATCCATGTTATTGGAAGCAAGCAGTTAGTTTTAACAAATGAGTGTTAATTAAATCTAAAAAGCATTAATGATAAGCTGATAGCTCAGTATTATTGATTACATAGAAAACATTTTTAAAATATCATAGTCATTAAACTTGAGTAAATTTAGTTCACCTATATTGCCTATACGAACATCTTATAAATCTTCCATAACAACATGAGCCTTTTTAAGTAATTTGATGAAAAATATAGATACCTATTCATTAGATGATAGGCCTAATTTAACATTCATGAATTTAAGTTTAACAAAATTTACCTAATATATAAAAAAATTGAATATATCTAAACTTCATCAAATTAGATTTATCTACTTATTCCCATTACACTTTATTTAATCTCCTTCCAAAGTAAATATATGCCATTAAAAAACCAATAATACTTTGTTCAATGAAACAAAAAGGACAATGTAAAGAATAAAAGACAAAAATAAAAATAACAAAAAAATCCCTTACTCTGGTTAGTATTAGATGCCGCACTCCCCCCTCCACCAAACAGTGCACCCAAAGCTGCAAGGCCAGATGGGTCAACTGCAAAGAAAATGTTAAGATAAGCATAAGTTTAGACTCAAGGTATTTCTCTATAAAGCATAAGTTAGACTCAAGGAATTTCTCTATAAAGCATAAGTTAGGCTCAAGGAATTTCTCTATAAAGCATAAGTTAGACTCAAGGAATTTCTCTATAAAGCATAAGTTTAGACTCAAGGAATTTCTCTATAAAGCATAAGTTTAGACTCAAGGAATTTCTCTACTAAGCATAAGTTTGACTCAAGGAATTTCTCTATAAAGCATAAGTTTGACTCAAGGAATTTCTCTATAAAGCATAAGTTTGACTCAAGGAATTTCTCTATAAAGCATAAGTTTGACTTAAGGAATTTCTCTAAAAAGCATAAGTTTGACTCAAGGAATTTCTCTATAAAACATAAGTTTGACTCAAGGAATTTCTCTATAAAGCATAAGTTTAGGCTCAAGGAATTTCTCTATAAAGCATAAGTTTAGACTCAAGGAATTTCTCTATAAAGCATAAGTTTGACTCAAGGAATTTCTCTATAAAGCATAAGTTTAGACTCAAGGAATTTCTCTATAAAGCATAAGTTTGACTCAAGGAATTTCTCTATAAAGCATAAGTTTAGACTCAAGGAATTTCTCTATAAAGCATAAGTTTAGACTCAAGGAATTTCAAATTAAGCATAAGTTTAGACTCAAGGAATTTCTCTATAAAGGATAAGTTTGACTCAAGGAATTTCTCTATATAGCATAAGTTTAACTCAATGAATTTCTCTATAAAGGATAAGTTTGACTCAAGGAATTTCTCTATAAAGCATAAGTTTGACTCAAGGAATTTCTCTATAAAGCATAAGTTTAGACTCAAGGAATTTCTCTATAAAGCATAAGTTTAGGATCAATTTCTCTATAAAGCATAAGTTTAGGATCAATTTCTCTATAAAGCATAAGTTTAGGATCAATTTCTCTATAAAGCATAAGTTTAGGATCAATTTCTCTATAAAGCATGAGTTTAGACTCAAGGAATTTCTCCATTTTATTACTGCAGGCTAGTCTAAAATTGGGGTAAAGAAGAAAAGTAAATTAAAATATTGTTGTAAAAATCACCTGTGCACATTATCTACCTGCTATAATAAGATTCATCTTGGATTATATTTTTTTAATATATTTAAAGCTCACAAATGTAAAAACAAGAACAACTGTAGCTTAATATCTGGTATTTTTACAAAAGGATCTAACAAAGTTGTGACCTAGTTATAAGTGGTGGGTCTACTAATGTTAACTTAATGAAAAATGTTAATTTTTGTTAAAGGGCTGATATGGGGAGGTTCTGGCTTTTGTGACAATTAATGTGGTAGAGGTAGGTAGCTGTTTAAATACTGTAAAATGAGCAGCCACACACTAGGATGTCAAATTTAAACCTAAAACTAAAAGCCACAAGGATGTCAAATTTAAACCTAAAACTAAAAGCCACAAGGATGTCAAATTTAAACCTAAAACTAAAAGCCACAAGGATGTCAAATTTAAACCTAAAACTAAAAGCCACAAGGATGTCAAATTTAAACCTAAAACTAAAAGCCACAAGGACATCAAATTTAAACTTAAAACTAAAAGCCACAAGGATGTGAAATTTAAACCTAAAACTAAAAGCACCAAGGATGACAAATTTAAACCTAAAATTAAAAGCCACAAGGATGTCATATTTAAACCTAAAATTCAAAGCCACAATGATGTCAAATTTAAACCTAAAATTAAAAGCCACAAGGATGTCATATTTAAACCTAAAATTAAAAGCCACAAGAATGTCAAATTTAAACATAAAATTAAAAGCCACAAGGATGACAAATTTAAACCTAAAATGAGAAGCCACAAGGATGACAAATTTAAAACTAAAATGAGAAGCCACAAGGATGACAAATTTAAAACTAAAATGAGAAGCCACAAGGATGTCAAATTTAAAACTAAAATGAGAAGCCACAAGGATGTCAAATTTAAAACTAAAATGAGAAGCCACACAAGGGTATCAAATGCTCTGCATCACCTGCTAAAAGCTGTACAAGATTAGTTCCCTAGAAATGAATGTCATACAACAAGCAGAAATTTGTTTTTTTCTAAATCAATTTTAGCTAACTAGGACTCTGCAACCAACAATAGGCATCATGCTTCTAGTTTAATAATTAAACATCCACACTTGTTATTTTCAACCTTAAATGACCAACATATTTTAGATCTCTTTTTTTTTCAGTAAACTACAGGTGGTTAAAACTTTTCAACATCCTAGTTAATAATTACTTGTTATAATTTAATGACACACTAACAAAGTACACATAACTGTTGATGATTTTTTTTAAAAAAGAATTAATTAATTTAAATCTTGATTTTTAAAAAGTCTATTTTATTGCATTAATTTTTTTTTTTTAAATGGTCGAAATTTATTTGTCTTTTCTTATTTCAAATACCTCCCATATTTTTATTGAAAGCTTTCTGAAGACTTGGAAGGTGAACTGAAAATATGAAACATTTGGTGCACACAGGATATCAACACAAACATAAAAGTGATTAAAATGAATCAGTGCATCTTGACAATCTCCTTCCAGAATAACACTTTCTTTAGCTGCCTGAGAAGAACTTATTTTATAGATCTTCTAAACAAAAATTAATTATGTTGCAATTTAGCAAAAAATGTAATAAGTTAGGCTTCATATATTATTTTGTTGATGTAATTAAATCATAATAAAATTTAATTTGTAAAATAAGTGGATAAGTATTTTACTCACGTTGATTTATAGAAACTTTTTCACATTTGAATGTTGGGGTGTCCCAATAGCCAGTGTCTAGACAGGAAACATTTGCATTGGGTGTGTCTATCTTATAGCCAGGTCTAGAAATATTGTGTTATAATGTGGGTCAGATAAAAAAATTTAACATGAGTCGTTTTAACAAAATTAAATAAAAAGAAAGCAATACCAAAAAAGTACAATGTTCAAAATTCTTTAACAAGAATAACTTCACTCAAACAAATGTTCTGCAGATCTATGAAGCCATTGATTACTTTAATATTTTAACACAAAGAAAAACCAATAACAAAATTTTCTTTGGTAAAATCTTTCAGGATATTAACCAAAAATTCAGATACAGACACAAATTTAGACATACAGGTCTAACTAAAAACAATATAAATAGTATTGGGTATTACAATTGTAGCTGTTGTGTTAAAAAACTTTACCTCCTAAAGTTGGAGAAGGGTTCACTTACTGACAAGTGTAGAGTGCTATAGATTTATAAACAGTAGCTGTGAATGAGGCTTCGGCAAACTGAACACTTGGGGGTGGGGCTCCACAGTCAACTAAAACAAACAACAAATCCTAAAATTGGAGGGGCCATGTGTGTAGTGAGAAAAGAAATCGTAGATTTTTTGTTATTTCTGAGTTAAATTAAGATAACAAATTATGCAATCAGCATTTTTGTTGAGTAGTCTTTAAGAAAAGAATTGTTGAGTAGACTATAAGAAAAGAATTGTTGGGTAGACTGTAAGAAAAGAATTGTTGAGTAGACTGTAAGAAAAGAATTGTTGAGTAGACTGTAAGAAAAGAATTGTTGAGTAGACTGTAAGAAAAGACTTGTTGAGTAGACTGTAAGAAAAGAATTGTTAAGTAGACTGTAAGAAAAGAATTGTTGAGTAGACTGTAAGAAAAGAATTGTTGGGTAGACTGTAAGAAAAGAATTGTTGACTATACTGTAAGAAAGAATTGTTGGGTAGACTGTAAGAAAAGAATTGTTGGGTAGACTGTAAGAAAAGAATAGTTGGGTAGACTGTAAGAAAAGAATTGTTGGGTAGACTGTAAGAAAAGAATTGTTGGGTAGACTGTAAGAAATGAATTGTTGGGTAGACTGTAAGAAAAGAATTGTTGGGTAGACTATAAGAAAGGAATTGTTGAGTAGACTGTAAGAAAAGAATTGTTGAGTAGACTGTAAGAAAAGAATTGTTGGGTAGACTGTAAGAAAAGAACTGTTGAGTAGACTGTAAGAAAAGAATTGTTGAGTAGACTGTAAGAAAAGAATTGTTGAGTAGACTGTAAGAAAAGAATTGTTGAGTAGACTGTAAGAAAAGAATTGTTGACTATACTGTAAGAAAAGAATTGTTGACTATACTGTAAGAAAAGAATTGTTGGGTAGACTGTAAGAAAAGAATTGTTGAGTAGGGGCCTGTACTGTAAGAAAAGAATTGTTGGGTAGGGGCCTGTACTGTAAGAAAAGAATTGTTGGGTAGGGGCCTGTACTGTAAGAAAAGAATTGTTGGGTAGGGGCCTGTACTGTAAGAAAAGAATTGTTGGGTAGGGGCCTGTACTGTAAGAAAAGAATTGTTGAGTAGACTGTAAGAAAAGAATAGATGAGTAGACTGTAAGAAAAGAATTGTTGAGTAGGGGCCTGTACTGTAAGAAAAGAATTGTTGAGTAGACTGTAAGAAAAGAATTGTTGAGTAGGGGCCTGTACTGTAAGAAAAGAATTGTTGAGTAGACTGTAAGAAAAGAATTGTTGGGTAGGGGCCTGTACTGTAAGAAAAGAATTGTTGAGTAGACTGTAAGAAAAGAATAGATGAGTAGACTGTAAGAAAAGAATTGTTGAGTAGGGGCCTGTACTGTAAGAAAAGAATTGTTGAGTAGACTGTAAGAAAAGAATTGTTGGGTAGGGGCCTGTACTGTAAGAAAAGAATTGTTGAGTAGACTGTAAGAAAAGAATTGTTGAGTAGGGGCCTGTACTGTAAGAAAAGAATTGTTGAGTAGACTGTAAGAAAAGAATTGTTGGGTAGACTGTAAGAAAAGAATTGTTGACTGTACTGTAAGAAAAGAATTGTTGAGTAGACTGTAAGAAAAGAATTGTTGGGTAGACTGTAAGAAAAGAATTGTTGACTGTACTGTAAGAAAAGAATTGTTGAGTAGACTGTAAGAAAAGAATTGTTGGGTAGACTGTAAGAAAAGAATTGTTGAGTAGGGGCCTGTACTGTAAGAAAAGAATTGTTGAGTAGACTGTAAGAAAAGACTTGTTGGGTAGGGGCCTGTACTGTAAGAAAAGAATTGTTGGGTAGGGGTCTGTACTGTAAGAAAAGAATTGTTGGGTAGACTGTAAGAAAAGAATTGTTGGGTAGGGGCCTGTACTGTAAGAAAAGAATTGTTGGGTAGGGGCCTGTACTGTAAGAAAAGAATTGTTGGGTAGGGGCCTGTACTGTAAGAAAAGAATTGTTGGGTAGGGGCCTATACTGTAAGAAAAGAATTGTAAACAAAACTGACCTGGTTTACAACCTTCCCAGCCACTTGGCGCTGACCACTGACCACCATTGATACATTGTACAAAAAGTGACCTCCCTTCATACCCCGTCTCACACTGGATAGAAAATGTGAAAATTGTATTTTCAAAAATATTTTAAATAAAGTCCTAGTCAAGAATGCAGCAATTTTTTTTTAAGGCAAAATCTTCTTATGTACCATAAAGACTAATCCTTAATTGAAATCTGTCTAAAACTGTAGAGTAGCCTAATGTAATAAAAAGTGTATCGAGTATAAAATGTTAATCAAGTACTAGTTCCTGCCCCTTCTTGTGATACAAGCAAATCACATAGATCTATCAAGTGACATACAGACCTGATAGAAAGCCCTGACATACAGACCTGATAGAAAGCCCTGACATACAGACCTGATAGAAAGCCCTGACATACAGACCTGATAGAAAGCCCTGACATACAGACCTGATAGAAAGCCCTGACCTGACATACAGACCTGATAGAAAGCCCTGACATACAGACCTGATAGAAAGCCCTGACCTGACATACAGACCTGATAGAAAGCCTTGACATACAGACCTGATAGAAAGCCCTGACATACAGACCTGATAGAAAGCCCTGACATACAGACCTGATAGAAAGCCTGACATACAGACCTGATAGAAAGCTCTGACAGACCTGATAGAAAGCCCTGACATACAGACCTGATAGAAAGGCCTGACATACAGACCTGATAGAAAGCCTGACATACAGACCTGATAGAAAGCCCTGACCTGACATACAGACCTGATAGAAAGCCCTGACCTGACATACAGACCTGATAGAAAGCCTGACATACAGACCTGATAGAAAGCACTGACATACAGACCTGATAGAAAGCCCTGACATACAGACCTGATAGAAAGGCCTGACCTGACATACAGACCTGATAGAAAGCCCTGACATACAGACCTGATAGAAAGCACTGACATACAGACCTGATAGAAAGCCCTGACATACAGACCTGATAGAAAGCCCTGACCTGACATACAGACCTGATAGAAAGCCTGACATACAGACCTGATAGAAAGCCCTGACATACAGACCAGATAGAAAGCCCTGACATACAGACCTGATAGAAAGCACTGACATACAGACCTGATAGAAAGCCCTGACATACAGACCTGATAGAAAGCCTGACATACAGACCTGATAGAACGCCCTTGACCCTACGATCCGTCTGTCACTCGTGTATGTAACTGACGCACCAGTTTTAGCCGGAGCCGCGGGACAGTTGTTGGCTGGTTCGAACAAAAAATCGAACGTTAATATAAGGTTTTTTTTTTTTAAAATAGTTTTTAAAATTATTTTGGTAATCAAAGCCTTAAGCTTAAAACACGTAACAGTCGTTCACAAAAGACGTCTTGCTTTAGTTCAATTGTTACCATTACTTTCCTCTTCAGAAAAAAAAAAAAAACAATCACGTGAAATAGCGTCAAGTCTCTGTGTCTCCCCCCCCCCCCCCCCCCCCACTTTAATCACTTTCCCTTTTGTTAGTTTAACAACAGATTTGTTCGGATTACCTAATAAAATTGCACCCAGTGTTTCTTTCAGGCGTCAAACTCTGGGAATGGCTACATGACTTTGCACCTCGTCCTTAGAGCATGTCTATCATTACCGCAGGGAATTTTAAAATATGAAATATATTAATTTGCTATCCACCTCATTCCCTAGCTTTCAAGAGTCCCCCCCCCCCCCCCCCCCCCATGTAGTAAATTTTCTGAAATAAACCCTGCTTCTGCTTGCATCGCAAATACTACAGAATACAAAACAAATAAAAGCGCGCAATTTTCGGGTCGCAAGCACTATCATTAATCTGCACATGAGGGGTACTCAGCATAGGCTACTAGTACTAGTACTACTAAGCTTTTTATTGATTAGAATATGGCTTAATTAGACTAGACTTTAATCACACGCTTGACCGCCCACTCTTGTTTGGCTTCTGTAAATTAGGTCACGTGACTGTCGGAACAGGAAGTCGGCAGATTTAATTTATTCTCAAGGTTCAGTGCATTCATTATTTCTGACAGGTGAAATGCAGACACACCTCAGACACAGTCGTCATGTTAGCTAGTCTGGGTGCTTTGTATACAGTCTTGTATACGCGATACTATATATATATATATATATATATATATATATATATATATATATATATATATATATATATATATATATATATATATATATATATATGTGTGTGTATGTATATATATATTATATATATATATATATATATAAACCTCTATAAACATACAAACATAGTTAAATGAGTTGAACATACCAGCCTCAGCCATTGTGTTGGGGTCTGACAGTCCGGCGTCTATTGGTGACCCTGAAGAGTTGTTCGGAGGGTCTAGGAAGGGGGGGGGCAAGAAAACCATACAGTAATTAAATAGTGGCCTAATTAAAAATGTTTATCACTGCTTTCTATAATTACTTTATGAAATTTCTTAGCCAATCTATTTTTTTAAGTGTTTGCAGTTGATATGAGCCATCAATTGTTTTATTCGTCATGGCATACATGTATTGCCATAGATAGACTAATGAAATTGAAATAACACCGAGTCAAGTATCCCTAAAACTTACCCAAATAATGAAATGACACCGAGTCAAGTATCCCTAAAACTTACCCAAATAATGAAATGACATCAAGTCAAGTATCCCTAAAACTTACCCAAACGCATCCTTTTATGTAGGGCAGACAGCAAGTCTACGTAAGCTACCTGTGGATCTAGTTGAAAGGATAGATGAAAATTATATTTTGGTTGGCTAGTAGACATCTAGAAACTAAGATACTGTTAAACGTGATCAACTTTACATTAAATCTAGATGAAAGATGAAAGGATAGAAGAAAACATATTTAGTTGGCTAATAGGTTTTATTGACACTAAGATACTGTTAAACGTGATCAACTTAACATTAGAAAACTTCTTTGGTTATTTTTTATTTCAATCGAAATGTTTTGTGTAGTAGGTCTATTTTAAAACCTAACTGGATAAGGTCGTTTGGTTATTGTTAACTTTAAGAAACGTTTTGGTAAATGCGGAAATGGCTCAATCTGACTATAAATAATAACTGTAATATAGATGCTTTAAATGAACAATAAATGAAAACTAGGCCTGATAATTTTTCAGTATTTGAAAATACAATGTGTTTGTTTGGGATAGAATAACTAGTTTTTTTTATTTGATAAACAACTTACCGAAAGACCTGCCTAACATGTCTAAAAATTTATCAGCTTGAAATCTTTGAGCAGCTGTTGGTGAAGTAGGCGTGACATCTGCAACAGGGCATGGAGCAGAAAATTTACAGTTATACAGTAGGTGTCGTTTTAGTTTTTTTACTTTCTCGTATACGAAGTATAGGGAAAGTATTAAAATTGTGCAAGAAAAATCGAGATTTGTGATTTTCACAAATCTCGACGTTTTACACCTCCCTGAGTCGGAAAAACATAGTTTTGCAATTTCGTCCGTATGTCTGTGTGTGTGTGTGTGTGTGTGTGTGTGTCTGTAAACACGATAACTTGAGTACCGTAACAGCTAGGTTGATGAAACTTCATTTATAAGTAATACATCAAATGTGTAGTTCTGTATCAACTTTTCAGCGATTTTTGGTAACCGGAAGTGGAACTTATTCTACTTATTCCCGGTTTATTATTAAGGAGATACATAAAGTTTGTAGTTATACAATAGATGTCGTTTTACTAAAGTTTAGTTTTTTTATTGAGGAGGGACATAAAGTTTGTAGTTATACAATAGGTGTCGTTTTACTAAAGCTTAGTTTTTTATTGAGGAGGGACAGAAAAATTGTAGTTATGCAGCACTTGCCTAGTTTTGGCATTTGTTTTTGCAAACTATCAACTGATAATATGAAGCTAACAACAGTAATATATGACAGGTAACTGACAACAACAGAGATGTGTTGCTGGAGTGTCATACAAGACATATGACACTGTCATCTGACAAAGTGTCTCAACTGACACTTCCTGTGACGCTGTCCGTGTTTACCTCTATGTTTACACACAATTCTTAAAAGCACAACATGTGCGCTATAAACAACATTCTTTATTTTAACATGATATTTGTTTTGAAAGTAGTTTTTAAAAGACAATTATTTAAACACTAAAGTAAAATAGATACTCTTAGAAACTATTCTTCATGCTTAAAATAATAATTGAAACACTAAATTATAATTAATTAGATATTTGTAGGACATTGTCTGGGTGCTTTAAAAAAAATAATCATTGAAACATTAAAGTATAATGAAATAGATACTGTTAGAAAACTATTTCCTTAAAGCGCGTGTAGATCAAACGACGAGACAAAATTCTAGAAATGTTGGACGGTTGTTACAAGGAAAAATGACGGCTTTATTACAACTGTTATTTATAGAACAAGAACAAGACAGCTTCTAAAAATAGCAACGCTCGTGACCAGTTGCAGTGCTTGAAATCCAGACAGAAAAATGTCAACACTACCAACGTAAAGTACGTCTCGTTAAATTTGTCCCGAGGTGTTAACTTTTCGCTGAGATGTTAACTTTGCCCAGAGACGTTAACTTTTTCCCGAAGTGTTAACTTTGTCCCGAGGTGTTAACTTTGTCCCGAGGTGTTAACTTTGCCCTGAGGTGTTAACTTTGCCCTGAGATATTAACTTTGCCCTGAGATGTTAACTTTGCCCTGAGGTGTTAACTTTGCCCTGAGATGTTAACTTTGCCCTGAGATGTCAACTTTTTTCCGAGATGTTAACTTTGCCCTGAGATGTTAACTTTGCCCTGAGATGTCAACTTTTTTCCGAGGTGTTAACTTTGTCCCGAGATGTTAACTTTGCCCTGAGATGTTAACTTTGCCCTGAGATGTCAACTTTTTCCCGAGGTGTTAACTTTGCCCTGAGACGTTAACTTTGTCCTGAGATGTTAACTTTGCCCTGAGATGTTAACTTTGTCCCGTGATGTTAACTTTGCCCGGAGATGTTAACTTTGTCCTGAGGTGTTAACTTTGCCCTGAGATGTTAACTTTGTCCCGTGATGTTAACTTTGCCCTGAGATGTTAACTTTGTCCTGAGGTGTTAACTTTGCCCCGAGATGTTAACTTTGTCCTGAGATGTTAACTTTGCCCTGAGATGTTAACTTTGCCCTGAGATGTTAACTTTGCCCTGAGATGTTAACTTTGTCCTGAGGTGTTAACTTTGCCCAGAGGTGTCGGCCTGTTTACTTTTAGCTACAACATGCATCGTAGGGGGGGGGGGGGGGAGGGGGGAGAGGATTCCATGGAGAAGTTCATCAGCGCACTTTCTAGGGCAACACAACATACGGCCATTATATGGCTAAACAACAAATGGGCTTTATAGGGCTAATCAGCTTATGGGGGTTGGTTATATGGCTACAAAAAGTAATAATATGTGCTTGAACTACACAACATAAGGGGTCTCCTTTTTTTATAGATTTATGAAGTTGATGCATACAAAATAATTCAATACAATCATCCGTTTCATTTAACATTTCGTGAATAGTTTTAGCTACAGTACGTTAAATGTTTAGATATAAGCATAATTAAAATTAGGGCCTAATTTCTTTAGGTATAGGGCCTACTCAAATAATGATTTATAGAAAGCATTTTACAAAGGCGGCAGACAAAAGTAATTTAACCTCATGAAAAATTGTGGCAGTTGATATTTTTATAGCCTAAAATGTCTGTATCATCTTCCTTCAACATGCAGGTCCCCCACCCCCCCCCCCCCCCCACCCTCAATCCCCAGCCGTGTGAGTGACAGCTACAGCCGTGTAGAGGAAGTGTCCCCCAGCTGACAGAAGAAAATGGCGCTATTAAAACTGTGGCCGGTCACACATTTATCACGGAGCCGGTCATAACATGGAGCAAACTATTTGAATCAACACCACTGTGTATGTCATATTTTTTAACCAGAGCTGAGGTAAAAGGGAGGGGGCTGTGTGGATGTAGCTTCTGTCTCGCCCATTTATTTGTTTCAAAGCTAAAGCCACTCAGTTTTTCTTTTGCGTAAAGACATTAACGTAGGAAAATATTTTTTCAATGAATAAAAATTAGGATGACAGTAACCAAGGGAGAGCACACGAGAGGGGCGGTAAATCTGGTGAGATTAATACCGAAATTACTGGATATATCCTGAGCTATTTACTTTAAAAAATATCAAGTTTGTATCACCTACAACATGTCCATAGAATTCAAACATTTAAAAACGTAAAGTTGTTATAAAGTCGCGGTCTCTGTAAATATGACTATAGAGATAGCAATTGTGAGTTTTATAGTAAACTGTGTGCTGAAGCAAACTAGATAAAAACTTGTCTGTAAGTAACCGATAACCGATCTAACAGGTGTTATGAAAAGCGGTAACTTTACATATATATATATATATATATATATATATATATATATATATATATATATACATATATATATATATATATATATGACACACGAAATATTCAATAAAAACGAATCAAATTACTTACTTCCTTCCACTAGGTACAACACGGCTGTAATAAAGATAACGAAATTAATAAGGCAAAAAATTAACAGATGGTGCAAGTATAAGAAAAGAAAAATTGTATATTTTTTACGTAATAAATTTTTTTTTAGACAACCACACAAATCCCTTCTTGTATTATGTGCACGATCTCTAACGGGACTGATGTAAGAGACCAAACAAGAATTTCACTTTTCTTTGAGCCCCATATCAGCACAGTACAAAGCTACGTATGTAGGACATGCATCACTAATGGGAAAATCTCGGGTTCGGATCCTGAGGCGGAGTCCGTGAGACGTCCCTAAATCCAACTGTAATGATAGGGAGAGTCAAGGCGGCTGGACATAGTGCTGACCACACTATCCCTTCATATACCGAGGTCACAGAATCAGGTGAATTCTACCTCAACTGCCATAAAGACCACCGGGTAACTCGACAAGCCTCTTATGGTACGTTACCCTCGGTATCATACTATTGAACACCAAACATGTCATATTTTATCAGTTTAGCCGTGTAACATCTATAGACCTTCTACATTACCTGACAAAAGTAGCGCAACTAGTCCCGTATCCATGCTGATGATGCTTACGTAGACAACTATAGAATAAAATAGCAACATGAGTGTAACAAGTACCAGCTGAATTGTGTTGACTACATCGTTATCAATTTACTTTAGAGCAAATTATCCTATGGTGTTTGTAATGGCTGTGTGAGTGTTGAATGTTTTTCAACTGCTGTTTTTTTGTACTTTTTAGTCTACATCTAGGCACCCATACCAATGTTGGCGTGTAATATTTCTCTCCCAACAATCAGCCCCCCCCCCCCTTACACAGTGGCGTTGCTAGGTTCGGTGTCACCCGGTGGCGCCCCTCCCAAGAAATAAGTATCCATATTATATATATATATATATATATATATATATATATATATATATATATATATATATATATATATATATATATATATATATATATATATATATATATATATATATATATATATATGTGTGTGTGTGTGTGTGTGTGTGTGTGTGTGTGTGTGTGTGTGTGTGCCTATAATTTAAATATATGCAGCTTACGCACATGTATATGTATAAGCTTTAATTACTGCATACTTAATTAACACGTTTACGTCATGTTGTCACCCCCACCCTCTTGTAATAAATGTCGATTTGTACTTAAAAGACTTCTAAGCTTTAACTAATCATTAACGGAACTAACAAAAAAGCATTTTTCTTCTTTACATTTTGCAATTTTTTGCCCTGGTGTAACCCCCTTAAATAGTGTTACCCGGTGTTTGCACAGACGTCCCCTAGATGATAAACTATGCACTAACATGTTGCTGCTCTGTTCAGTGTACCGTGTGCACATCACACAACAAATTGTAAGCAGTTCACCAACACAAAAAAATGTAAGCAGTTCCCCAACAAAACAAAATGTAAGCAGCTCACCAACACAACAAAATGTAAGCAGTTCACCAACACAACAAAATGTAAGCAGTTCCCCAACACAACAAAATGTAAGCAGCTCACCAACACAAACAAATGTAAGCAGTTTCCCAACACAACAAAATGTAAGCAGTTCACCAACACAACAAAATGTAAGCAGTTCATAAACTCTCAACAATTAGAATAATCTGACAGCACCAATTCATTCTCAGATGTGCAAGGGTTAATTTAATATTAATTTGGCTTTTAATTAAAATATTTTACACACATTCGCATATATATATATATATATATATATATATATATATATATATATATATATATATAATTTTTCCCTTTTTGCAACTTGATACACCAAACTGAATTTATTTGGTTTTTAATTTGTGTGCCAAATTGAACAGCTGTGTATAGATCACCAATAAAACGCCTATGGATTCTTGTACATGTTGTCAATGCATGTTGTCAAATTTAATCCCCACCCACTCACCTTCCCCGCCTGCCTAACATAATTATAAAACTTAGCATAATAATGGGCTTAAGTGATAACTAATAGCGAATATGTGCGATGTTTGATTCATTTCTGGAAGTAATTATAATATAATGTAATTGATACAAAAGCAATTAATTAGTGTTGTTAAGTTTTTAAAAGATTAATTAAACAATGCTTAGTGTAACAACGAGTTAAAAATGTTTATAAACTAGCGTCTAGTAACTTACCTTTGTGCGACACCTTCTACAAAAAGCGAATGCCAAACATCCTTGAGGAAACAACGAAACGAGGATTTCCTTGCGATACTCATTAAAAACTCGTTACGGTGAAGCGACACTTTATAGGATCTCCTAAAAAGTTCCTTGTCCCATTCAAATGTCTTAAATGATATATTATATAGGCTATTGATCATACCTAAGAGATATTTGTAGTTGTTTCGTTATTTTAATAAGTAGGCCTTTGTATTTTCAAACAATTTATCTTTATTATTTGCAAATATTATTTCACATGTTAGATGTAGACAATAAATGACGTCACCTTTTTGGAATTGGAAAGCGATGGAGAGAGGGGGGTCGGATTCTGCGACTGTGTGTGACGTAAAAATCAAGAGTGACGTAACAATTTACATATTGCTGTATATGTTTTAAACTGACTTATTTGCTATTTTTTTCGCATTGTTAAAACTTTTCACTATATATACATACATACATATATATATATATATATATATATATATATATATATATATATATATATATATATATATATATATATATATATATATATATATATATATATATATATATATATATATATATATATAATTTATCAACATGCTCACATTTGATACGGAATTGATAAATTGTCAGCATACAAAAATGATTGACGATCTTTTCAACGAATCAACCTATATAGCAACACTGTGTGTGTGTGTGTGTGCGTGTGTGTGTGTTTGTGTGTTTAGTTATATCAGTTTACTAATTGAAAAAAGCCCAATAAATATTTTAGAAAATAATTACATTTTTCCTGGGAGTTGGGAGGTGAAATATGACGTCACTTTAAAGTGTGTGAATGTGTTGGGGGGGGGGAGTAGATTTGTCGTTTTATAATATGAGACAATTGCACCCAGCATATACCGCTTTCCCTTATCGTCACACGTCTAAAATAAAAGTTTGACTACGCGCACTTATACCCCTCCCCTTATTTAACCACGATACTTACATAAGTTCTGAATTGTTTTGTTCTAAATACAATATCGTTTTTTTAGGATTCCTTCCTCGCCCCCCCCCCCACCCCCCCCCCCCCCCCCCCCCACTCTCTATGTACCACATTTTCACAAAAGACCGAATATTTTCTTCCCCTTTCCCTTACTTGTGACGCTTAAAAGCCAAATAAATAGATTTTTCTATGCATCAAATGTCAGAAAACGATGTATCAACTGTAAATTAGTCTTTCATATCCTTGTTTGCAACAATCACGAAACAATTTTTTTTTATATTACATTTATATGTAAAAATAAAACGATATGTTTTTTTAAATGAGCACCGCAATATGCCAACAAGTTGTAGAAGTCAGTGGCCAACGTGACGTCATTAAAGGACGGCTAGAGGATTTTAATTTCGCCGTGTTGCTGGCTTGTGTTACCTCGACCTTCATCTGTCGTAGAAAAAATAAAATATTGTCTCAAGTTTGTGTAGACTTGTGATGGAATATTTTTGAAATAATGTAGAAACCAGTTGTTGATTTCTTTAACGAACCCATTGGTAAGGCCATCCCTAATTGACGACTTATGTCAGGATTTTTAAAACGAATTTTACTTCCCCCCACCCCCATCGTCACACATAAAAGTCCGAACCCCACCCCCTTGGAGTGTGACGTCATTTATGAACGTCCCATAGCGCTCAGGCACACTGTATCAAAGGCTTATTTAACTCCTCTAAACAATGTGTGTGCCACAATTAAATGACGTTAGCGCTAATAAAATGGACTTCATTTTACTTTTTGAAGAGGACAATGCATGTTGCATGAAAGTTTGTGTTTTGGTTTTAATTAAATTATTCTATTCTATTAATGAAAATTATTTTTAAACACTAATGTAGAAATCCAAACAGAAAGAAAGACAGCATAAGAATAAAGAAAAAAAAACAAGTCTTATACGATGTGTATGTGTTTGTATAAAATATGTTTCTGGAGAACTTTACCCCCCCCCCCCCTCCAGCTATTCTCCTGCTCCCTTAACCCCCCATCTCTCTTGACATATGTAGATGAATGTTATTTGTTGACAAGACACGCTGCGTGCAGAGATTAAAGGATTGCTTGTTTCAGCATTGTCTACAACAACTTCACTGTTATATTTCTTGTGTCCTGTCTAAAAAAAATCCAACTAAATTCTCTCCCCTCACACAAGCGGTAAGAACTACAAACACCATTCATGGGAAGTTCATGTCATGCATGAGTTATCTGTATTATTTTTTGGTTGTAAAATCGTAACTTGACATCCAAATTTAGACTTTTTTCATTCTAACTTCCTGGAACGTGCCGATAACATTCTAATTCCTACATCCTGCTCGCCTTAATTTACCAGACATGTTTTTCAGTCCCACTTGTACTGTAGACAATTTTCACGGGAATTCTTTATGGCGGCTTATATTGTTCCTGCTCTTTGAGCCTGGGTAATGGGTCGTTGGATTTGAACAGTGTGCCCAAAAGCACACATCAATATATACATCACACACACATTATATATAACATATATGTATATATATATATATATATATATATATATATATATAATATATATATATATGTGTGTGTGTGTGTTATATATATGTTATATATATATATACAATAAATTATTTTTATATATATATATATATATATATATGTGTGTGTGTGTGGGTGTGTGTGTGTGTGAATATGTATGACGCGTCTGCGTGTCTAAGTCTGGAGTATCACATTAACATTAAGTATACATATTTTCCCCTGTATTGTGTGTTGTGCGAGAGTTGCTCGGCACATTTTTCTACAACAATGCTTGAAATTTTCGAATGCACCCCTCCCCCCCCCCCTTCTCCCGAGAACAAAAAAACTGAAAGAAACACTGTATGTTAGCCCCTTAGATGTGACGACCCAGCAATGTGTAGTGACTGTTGGGTGACAGATCACCCTGATTGATTGTTTAGCCAGCCCGGAAGTGACCTGCAACGCTTCATTGGTTTGACGGTATGACAAAGGTCAGGCTAACTACCAGAAAAACCTGCTGCACCCAACCCTCTATAACCAACAGTCAAGTTTTTACTATAACACATTGAGACGAAGATCCAAATTTACCCGAGAGTAGCCGAAATTAGATTTCTTGTAGACTTAAAATCGAGTCACTGAATGTTGTTCCAAAGTGAATATGTACTGCTTAAAGCTTAGCTGGACCTGTTGGTATTACTGTAGGTATTGTTCGTGACGACTTCAAACAAGCTCCATAAATGATGGCACACTCTTGGGAAGTTGGAAATCGGATTTTTGTGACGATGTGGGACTAGAAGGGTGGGGGGGGGGGGGGGGGTGGGCAGTCATACATCAAGTACAGGTATGGCTGTTGCAGTCATACATCCAGTATAGGTAATGGCTGTGTCAGTCATACATCAAGTACATGTATGGCTGTGTCAGTCATACATCAGATAAGGTATGGCTGTGTCAGTCATACATCAGATAAGGTATGGCTGTGTCAGTCATACATCAGATAAGGGTATGGCTGTGTCAGTCATACATCAGATAAGGTATGGCTGTGTCAGTCATACATCCAGTATAGGTATGGCTGTGTC